AAACTAATAGCTTAAACTTTTTTTTTTTTTTTAATTCAACATGTTTGGAGTTTCAGTGCATTCTATGGAAGTTCCCTGAGGACTTGTACTCTCCTCCTTCTAGATGGTCTAGGGATATAGCCTCAAGTGGCTGAAGCAAACAAACTAGTGATTTTTTTTTTTGAGATCTCCTATTTTATCTTGAAGATAGCATGAGCATTTGGTTTCTGTTTCTTAACATTTTTGTGTTCGCTAAATAAAAAGTCCCTAAAACGGATAACCAGGTAGTGAAACACTTCTGAACATTCCCCAGTTCTTTCAGCCATTCCTCATTTGACATTTAGGTCTACTTGGTAGTCTGTTCATACCACTGCAGAAACTATATTCCATGGTTCCAGAACTGAACATAGTTCTTCAAGTATTACTAGCACAAAGATGTATCGAATGAGCAGTTGAGTAAAATGTGATAAGGGAAATAGCTGGGACTGCTTGCATTTATGTCTTCCTTTTGAAATGGTATAGGTGCAATAAATGTTTTAAATTGACTTAGTTTAGAACTAAGGTAAAATTAAATATGTATCTCAAGACTGTAGAGGCTTAAGACTGTAATTACATGCTGTTGAATCCTTGGTTTTAATAATGTTTTGTGAATTGACAAATGCTAAAACAAAAACACAGTTTTTAGTGTAGAAAGTAGTTACATTTGTGATGAGATCTGGAAGTGCATATTGTCCTTCCACTAACATTGTGAATAAATATGGATGGGTTGTCAGGAATCCATCGGCTGTACCTGTGTGTGATGACAGTTGTAGTATACTTGACAGACTTCTGAAGGAAATCCCAACTTAAGCGAAATAGACTTTACTTTTTAATGTAAATAAAGAGTAATGTAAAAAATTTGAGAATGGTTAGGCATATTTTTTTTTTACTTATGATATTTATTACTCCAATTGCTTGAAGAACTGAAATTTAGAATTCCTGGAGATAATCTATTTGTTACAGTTTGTTATAAATTCATATATTAAACAATGTTTGGTACCCTATGTATTAATTATTTATGTGTGTAACAGGCAACCCAAAGTTATGTTGACGAATGTCCTATGGACGGATTTAGGACGAAAATTCAGAAAGACCCTACCTAGAAATGATGCTAATTTATGTGATACCAACAAGGTGCAATCAGACTCATTGCCTTCGACATCTGTTGACAGCCTAGAGACATGTCAAAAATTAGAACCTCTTCACCAAAGCCTTAATTTATCTGAAAGGTATGTTGTTCAGTATTGATTTTGTTCAACTTACCACATCTGAAATAATATAAATCCAATATTCTTAAAGATAAGATTGTTGGAAATTATCTTGAAGAAGATCTGCCAATACAGGTGGTGTACCCCACTCTAAAGCCAATTTTAAAGCTGCGAGTCTCAATTTACAAATTTAGATAATGGTTCTACACTTCATTAAGCAGATCAACATGGAATTATACTTGAAAACAAGTATTATTAGTATATTT